TCATTCTTCTACATAAGGATAACCAGTTTTCCCAGTACCATTTGTTTAAAAGGCTGTCTTTTCCTCAATATGTTTTTGGCGCCTTTGTGTGAATTTGTCTGTATTCTATTTTGTACCACTGGTCTGTTTTAATGCCAGGACCATGCAGGTTGTTAGCTAGATAGCTTAATTTGAAGACAGACACTGTGATGCCTCTAGCACTGCTTTTTTTGGCTTAGAATTGCTTTGGCTATTCTCGGTCTTTTATTCTTCCAAATGAATTTTAGGACTGTTTTTGCTAGTTCTGTGAAGAATGTCATTAGTATTTTGATGGGGATTGCATTGAATCTGTGTATTGCTTTTGGTGATATGGTCATTCTAGTAATTTTAATTTTTTTTTCAAAGAGAGCGAGCGAGAGAGAGAGAGAGAGAGAGAGAGAGAGAGAGAGAGAGAGAATTTTAATATTTATTTTTTAGTTACGGGCGGACACAGCATCATTGTTTGTATGTGGTGCTGAGGATCGAACCTGGGCCACACGCATGCCAGGCGAGCGCGCTACCGCTTGAGCCACATCCCCAGCCTTAGTAATTTTAATTTTGCCTATCCATGAAGACCATGGGAGGTCTTTCCCTTTTCCAAAGTCTTCTTCAATGTTTTTCTTCAATGTTCTATAGTTTTCATTGTAGAGGTCTTTCACTTCCTTGGTTAGATTTATTCCTAGGTATTTTCTTTCTCTTTATTAGGCTATTATGAATGGAACTGTTTTCCTGATTGTTTTCTCAGCAGATTCATTGTTATAATAGGAATGCTATTGATTCTTGTATGTCAATTTTATAACCTAGTACTTTGCCAAACTTTTAAAAACTTTTAGTTGTAGATGAACACAATATCTTTATTTTATTTATTCATTTTTATGTGGTGCTGAGGACTGAACCCACTGCCTCACACATGCTAGGCAAGCACTCCACCACAGAGCTACATCCTTCACCTTACTTTGCCAAATTTATTAGTCCTAATAGTCTTCCAATGGAGGTTTTTTTTTTTTTTTTAATCTTCCAGATATACGATCATTGATGAGATTCTTTAGAGAAAATGTAGACTGTGTTAAGGAGAACCCTGGAGAACATGAACATTTAAAGAACAAAGTTAAAGAAGGGATAAGAGAACACACACAGAGAGAGGCCAACCAGAAGAGATTATCACACAAAGCAAAAGAATAAAGAATGGTCAAAAGTGGCCAGGTAATACAGTGATAGAAAAAACAAAAATAAGTAGCTGATTATTTTAGAGTAGCTGGGATTGATGCAGGACTGCAATTGATAGAGAATTACGCAATTGCAAGGTAAGGAACTAGAGATCTACAGAATGTAGACAAAGCTTAAGAAGACTAGGTAAAAAGAGAAGAAAAAAAGACAAGCTCAAAGTGGTGATACATGCACAACTGTAGCCCCAATTATTGGGGAAGGTGAAACAGGTGTATCCTTTAAGTCCAGGAGTTTGGAGCCAGCCTAGACAACTTTGTGAGAGCCTGTCTTAAAAAAAAAAAAAAAAAAAAAAAAAGGCCAGTAGCTAAAGGGTTAATGTGATTTTTTTTTTTTCTTTTCTCTCTCCCTCTTTTTGTACTCGGAATTGAACTCAGGGGCACTCAACCATTGAGTCACAACCCCAGCCCTAGTTTGTACTTTATTTAGAGACAGGGTCTAAGTGAGTTGCTTAGTGCCTCACTTTTGCTGAGGCTGGTTTTGAACACATGAACCTCCTGTCTCAGTCTCCCAAACTTCTGGGATTAAGGCATGAACCACTGCACCTGGCTTATCTCTTTTATGTTACCCAGGATAAAATACCTATAATTGTTTATAAGAGAAAGAAAAAGAGCCAATAAAAAAGGGGAAATATATAAAATGTAAGAGAGATGCGAAAACAGGCAAGGAGAAAAGCATTTAGATGCACAGCTATTAAAATTTAGGATAACTACTTTATAAAGGTATCCATTGAATTCTTATTCCAGATCCTGTGACAAATGACAATAAAACTACTATAAATAAAGATACTGCCTGGGGCTAGGGTTGTGGCTCAATGGTAGAGTGCTTTCCTAGCATGTGTGAGGCAATGGGTTCAAAATAAAGGTATTGTGTCCATCTGCAACTAAAATAATAATAATAATAATAATAATAATAATAAAAAATAAAGATATTGCCTAATGTTATAAAAACTGAAATCTATATCAGCTAACTTTTCTAGGCCAATTATGAATTAATTCAACAGGTAGTATTTCTTCACCCATATACTCAGCCTCTAAATATAGGAAAATATTTTGGCTTAGCCTACAGAAGGTCTAATCCTTGATAAAACAAGGTAAAAGTTCATTTTCTTTAGTCTTCTTTGACCAAGTACTTGTTAGCATTCCCATCCCCTACCTTTTCTAATCCAAACTCCATGTTTCTACTCTTTGCTTCAAGACTCCTAAAATCTGCCAGATGAGGTAGAACCATGCCTATAATCCTAGTACTTGGCAAGCTGAGGCTGGAGGATCATTTGAGCCCAGGAATTCAAACTAGCCTGGACAACATATGGAGAATCCATGTCAAAAAAAAAAAAAAAAAAAAAAAAAAGACTTATAAAACAAATTTTATGATTTGAGGCATTGACAGCATACTGAAACTTTAAAACCAGACCTTTTCCCTCTTTCTTCTTGTATTAACTCAACTTCTAGACAAAGTTTTTGACAAGGAAATGTTTTATTGGAAAACAGCTTCTTCATTAGTTTGTGTTTTCTCCAAGCCCCCCATTTATAGCTGGTTATGGTGGTGCAGGCCTGTAATCCCAGCAACTCCAGAGGCTGAGACAGGACAATCACAAGTGCTGATAACGCCAAGGTCGCGGGTTCGATCCCCGTACGGGCCACCAAATGCCGCAGTCTGGCTGGGCACAATCAGAAGCCACTTGTCAAAAGAAACTAACTTTATTTTTAGAACCAAACACGCCAAACAAAACAGCCTCTCAGGAAAAATCCTCAGAGCCTCAACTGCCACCACCGGCTTTCCACAAGCCTGTCTCTCCCCCACAAGCTTCTTTCCACCTCCCACAATCCTCCTGCTCTTGAGGCCCATTGGCTGGGTCACGTGGGCAGAGCCAAAAAGTCCCCCAATGAGCAGCTCCGTGGTCTGAAAGGGCAGGGAAACAGTCCAATGAGCATCACCGCAGAGGAGCCAATCAGCTAGATGTTGCTGGGGCCGAGGAGCCAATCAGCTAGATGTTGCTGGGGCGCTGTGAGCCAATCATCAGCCGGCAGCTGGAAGTTTGCTGGGGCCCCTTGGGCTGTGGCTCTCAACATGAGGCCAGCCTCAGCAATTTTGTGAGATATTGTCTCAAAATAAAAAATAAAAATGGCTGGGGATGTGGTTCAATGGGTAAATGCACCTGGGTTCAATACCTGGCCATGTGGTTGGGGGAAAATCCATATCTATAACATTTATAATGCTACCCTCATCCTGACAAAATTAAACCAGAATTATTGTTTGGTTATAAGAAACAAAATCTAGATGTCCTACCTTTCAGGCTATTGTTCATGGAGAGTATACCTTATCAAATATTATACTTTAAATGCATCTCACATTGGCAAACTAAGGTCAAATACCCAAATCCAAGAAAAGAATTTTAAAACAAATTCATAGGAACTACAGAAATCACTATATAAAGATGACCTATACCTAATCCATATGGGCAATAAAATGGTAAGGCAAGGAAAATGTGCTACTCTATTTTTGTGTTCTCTCACAGATCTCCCAAAACACAAGTAAACAAATACCACCTCCTTTTTGTACTGGGGATTCAATCCCAGGCCTCTACCACTAGGAATGTAGTACACCCCAGCCTCCCCTGCCTCTACACTTTTTCCCTAATTTTGAAATAGGAGGCTGACCTTAAACTTGCAATCCTCCTGTCTCAGCCTCCTGAGTCTCTGGGATTACAGGTATGCGTCACAGCACTCAGTTTAGCAGAATTTTTAATTGATCCAAGCATTAACCCATTCCACGGATGTGAGGCAGCTGTACTGTTGAATGTTTAGCTTGTTTTAAAATCTTTGAGCGGGTAAAAAAAAAAAAAAAAATCTTGAAGAAAACTCTCAAAAGATGGGGACGGAAGGACTAGGTATATAAGGGCCATAGTCAATGAAAGGGTGGGATTAAAAGTGCTCTGAAGACTTCCAACGCTGTGTCCAAAGGGTGCTACTTGCGTTTACCCTGAAGAATTTAGAAGAGGCTACACACTCGTTCGCTGGGCCTTCAGAACGAACAAGCCAATTCTAGCATTCACAACTGGTATTCCTTTTTTGTTGGGGCGGGGGGAGGTTACAGCCGTTCAGATTTGTATTCGAACAAGACTCATTCACTCACCACAAATAAAACCACACAGAACTTTCGATGCAGGCGACAAACCCAGGTATTGACTAACTAGATGCGCTTTGGCTGCTCTGGGAGATAAGCTTAGTGAAGAGACGCAGATAACTGACTGTACAACTGCGTTTGTTCAGTCCGACCTCAAACCACATCATAAGTTGTTTACCAAGGCTCTGACAGATCTGCTCCATCCCTAAGCATCTTAGCTGTACGTCAGAGATGCCGTGAGAGAAGTGGCTTTCGGTTTAGCTAGTCCAAACCACCTCACACATGGAAAACAGCTCGCCGGCCACACAGCTCCGCCCGCTTCCCTTCTCCTCGTTTCCCCGAAAGGGCGACTAACCCGCCAAAGGCTGTGTCTGTCCAGATCCCGCCGGCCAGCCTCGCGGCGGTGGCGACTTCCAGTCCCACCACACAGGAGAACGCCGGACCCCTTCGACTCTTTTAGGTAACGGAGACTCTCTCGCTGGAATCCCGCAGCCACTCAACTTCCGCTTCCGGCAAGCAAAAGAAAAGGTTGCAGGCAAGTCTCGCGATATCTAGAGTTCACTTTTTTGCCACGCCCCGTTTCCCCCAAGGAAGGTGCGGTATGCAGGTAGACTACTAGTGACAAAGCTGCAGACGCCGCAGTCTATTTATGCCCCAGTCTATTTACGTGGTGGCTGGGCCAAACGCAAGTTCTAGGATGCCCAGGAGGGGCGGGAAAGGCGAACCTCCGAAATGCTGGCGGGATCTGTGGAGGAGCAGGCGCGGGGAGCAGACACTACAGGACTATTCGAGCGATGTCGCATCTCACTCCCGCCAGCGCAAGCCTAGGTAGTAAGATTTCTGTAGTCCCTTTGGTACATGTTTTTGCGGAAACATTCAAACTTTGCTCCACCTGCAGTGTAGGTGTCCAGCTACCTCCAAGAATCCTGCGTATTTCTTCTCAAATGTTCCTCAGGTGTACAAATGCTGAATTTCCCAAACCTAACGACCGTTTCCCTCCCAAATTATTTCCCAGACCATGCGCGCCTCTTAATACAACCAACTTGGAAACTTTAATGTCTAAATTGGATGCCCTTTGTTTCTATCAGCGGCCAAGTTCTGTCGATTCTAATCCTGCATTAAATCCAGCATCTGTCCGATCGCCCTACCCACTGCCTACACCTAACCAAAGTTCTTACTGTTATTCCTTGGTTGACAGGAATGAAGTACTTCTCATTGATGCCCTTTGTCTTAACATCACCCCCTGCCAACCTATAGATTTAGTTGCCTTCAAGCATGGCTGTGATGTAAAATTATTCATTGCTCCGTTTTGCCTGTAGACTAAAAGCCAAATTTGTTAACTTGGATTTAAAACACTATTTTCTTCTCTTCCCTTTTTATTCTCTCCCTGCACATGGTAAAACAGATCATATGAAGTATTTCATGCATGAACCAGGGAAGATTCCAATTCGTTGAACCTGGGAAATTGGAACTGAAAAGGGATATCCATAGGGTAAGTTTTGCAGCAGAAATGAGCTCAGAGATCAAACAGATTTGTAAAATTTGAGGTGATAGTGAAATATTCCAGAGAATATTTCTAGAGGGTTGACAGAAATATGGGGTTAAAGCTCAGGAAAGAGAGGCTGTGCTTAAATATGTAAATGTGTGAGTCAGGCATGTACTATTTATAAAGAAAAGAAGGCCAAGACCTATACCTAATATCCCTGATGACCTAACTTCCTCCTACTAGACCCTACCTCTTTTTTTAAAAAAAAAATATATTTTTTAGTTGTTGATGGAACTTTATTTTATTTATTTGTATGTGGTGCTGAGAAGCCCAGTGCCTCACCTATGTTTAGGAAGCAAGAATAGGAGATGCAAAACTTGAAGACAAGTACCATAACAATTGAGAAACTAAGAAAAATGCTTCCCCACATAGTTTCAGGAGTTAGGATATTTGGAAACACAGGTGTTGTCATAGGCCAATTTGCTTTTCTCTTTGTGTGTTAGTTAACATTCTGTCACCATGACAAAGTACCTGAGATAATCAACTTACTAAAGGAAAAGATTTATTTTGGTTCATGGTTTCAGAGATTTCAATCCATGATCAGTTGGCCCTGGGGCAACATAGTACATCATGCCGGAAGCACACAATGGAAGAAATCTGTTCATCTCACAGCAGAAAACAGAGGAAACAGAGAAGTAGATAGGAAAGGGCGGGGTCCTAATATCCCTGATGACCTAACTTCCTTCTACTAGACCCTACCTCTTTTTTTTTTTAATATTTTTTAGTTGTTGATGGACCTTTATTTTATTTATTTGTATGTGGTGCTGAGAATCGAACCCAGTGCCTCTTGCGTGCTAGGCAAGCGTGTTACCACTGAGCCACAACCCCAGTCCCATAGACCCTACCTCTTTAATGTTCCACCATGTCCCAGTAGCAGCACAAGGTGAAAACCAAGCTGTTAGTACCCGGGCCCTTGGGTGGACATTCTGGATCTAAACTTTGTTACTATTAATGGGATTATTTGTAAATAATATATACTCAGAAAAGTATATATTTCTTTCCTTTATATTCATATATGGCACCTAGGAGATCCTGAGCTTCTGAGAATTTCTATGAAGAACTCAGGATTACCAATTTTCAGGTCTTCAAATGAAGCTATTTCTACTCATAATGTTTTCTTATACTATTATATATTATCAATTATTGTACCTCATTTTCTGACATCAGAAAATAATCTGATCCATGGCAGAGAATATTCTAAATAACTAATACTGAAATTTTTTAATTAAACCTTTTTTGGTGGATATGTACTTATTTAAATTTAGTACTTATTTCTCTGGTGTAACCAGAATATTTGGGCCATAATTTAATCTTCTCTTGGCAGCTAAAGGTCATAGTTAGAGTATGTTATATATTCCACTGGATAGTAATATTTTTAGGCCTTATTAAATGTATGAGAAAGATTGCCCTTTACTAGTTGATTTGGGGCTGGGGGAATAGCTCGGTGGTATATGCTTAGATTGTATGAGGCCCTGTAGTCAATCTGAAGCACCACATACATATACAGGTTGATTTTGACCAGGCACACTGGCGCCCACCTGTAATCACAGCCACTCCATAGGCGGAGGCAAGAGGATCAATTTAGTAAGACTCTGTCTCAAAATAAAATAAAGGGCTGAGGGTATAGCTCAATGGTAGAGTACCTGTGTAGCACAACAAGGCCCTGGATTCAATCCCCAGTACTGAAGGAAAAAAATGTTGATATTGCCATCTATGTTATTTTATACCTCCACATAACTCTGTGTGTGTGTGTGTGTGTGTGTGTGTGTGAGAGAGAGAGAGAGAGAGAGAGAGAAGCAAACCAGAGGGGATTGAATCTAGGGACATTCCTACCATTGAGCTACATCCCCAGTTTTTGGTATTTTTTATTTGAGACAGAGTCTCACTAAATTGCCCAGGCTGGCCTCAAACTTCTGATCCTCCTGTCTCAGCCTGCTGATTGCTGACTTGTTGGAATTTCAGGCATGTGCAACTATGCCTGGCTATTCATAATTGTTTTTAATGGCATTTGATTAGAAAATCAAGTTATAGATGTCATTTTTTTTTTACATCCAGCAGTTTTTATTTTCTATTTATTTGTTTTCAGTACTAGGGATTAAACCCAAGGCCTCACACATGTTAGGCAAGTGCTTTACCACTGAGCTATACCCCTAGCCCTACATCTAGCTATTTTTTTTCTAAAAAGATGAGTTTAAACTGTTTACTTTTAAAAAACTTTATTATTTATTTATATTTTATGTAGTGTTTAGGATTGGATCCAGTGCCTCACACATTCCAGGGAAGTGCTCTACCACTGAGCCACACCCCAGACCCATCTAGCTATCTTTAAAAAGGAGAAATAGGCTGACATAAACTATCACTTAGTACAATACCTGGCATAAAGTAAATGTTAGAATATATCTGGGAATTGGAAAAGATAATAGTCAAAATCAGAACTTGAAAATTGGATCATTTCAAGGCAATCCAAACTTTCCCAAACTATACGTAATATACATTCCAGTAATTCATTATTAAATGTCTTCTTCTTCTTCAAATTTTTTTTTTTTTTTTTTTTTTGGTACCAGGGATTGAACTCAGGGGACACTTGGCCACTGAGCCACATCCTCAGTGCTATTTTGTATTTTTTTTTTTTTTTTTAATTTAGAGACAGAGTCTCACTGAGTTACTTATCTCGTCGCCATTGCTAATGCTGGCTTTGAACTTGCAATCCTCCTGCCTCAGCCTCCCGAAATGCTGGGATTATAGCTGCTGGGATTACAGCCATGCCACAGTGCCCAGCTATTAAATGTGTTCTTAAGCTTGTATTTCATTGTTTGAAGCACAATATTTCATGTTCTAGTACTTGAAGCATAAAAACTATTTGAATATCTTATTGTAAAAGTAACAATGAAGCATATGATACATACTATGTAAAAGAATTATGTTTATAAATAAAATCTTCTTCTAATTGGTTTCTTGTAATGACTGTATGCTAATGGCAAAGTCATTCCATTATACTCCCCTTTCCTTAGCATTTAGCATTGAGTACAGAAGTTTCAATAGCTTCTATATAATTAAGGAAAAAAACTTATAAATGCATAAAATAGAAGCCAAAGTGAATTCTCATTCTGGTAATCAAATGAAGTACTTAAAAATTTGCTTCTTCATAGTATAGAAACCTAAATATTACCATGTATAAAATCATAAGCTAGTTTTTGATAACTTTAAGAATCTTTACCTTAAATATTAAAACAGTTAAATGAATTAAGTTCAAGAATATTAGAGAATTGTATTAAAGACCTTAAAATAAAATTCTCTACTAAAAACAATTTTAAAACTTTCAAAACAATGAATATAAAACTGTTAAAACCATTGACAGTAGTAGATGCATTGTAGGTCAACTTACTGTTGTCAATGTGGAGAGCAAGAAAAAACATTTTATTTAGCAATTGAAATATTTAATAAATACATGTAGAAATCTAAGTATTTTTAGCATAATTCATTTTAAAAATTCAATGTCAATAAGAATTGTGCTGGGGCTGGGGATGTGGCTCAAGTGGTGGTGTGCTGGCCTGGCATGCACAAGGCACTGGGTTCAATCCTCAGCACCACATAAAAATAAATAAAGATATTGTGTCCACCTAAAACAAAAAAATAAATATTAAAAAAAAAAAGAATTGTGCTATAACACAAGTAGAAAAAGAACCATTATAACACTAACCATTGTCAAATGAAACACTTTAGAAAGTAAATGACATACAAGTTTGTGATTTGCCTTGACTATATAGATTAGTCTAAAAATCATGCTACTAATGGAACATCCTTTAAACCACAATATTTTACTTTAAAAGGCAAATATCCTCAGTTATTATTTATACCATCTTATCATTAAGGCCCTGCCTACATATAAAGTAAGTGAAATGAAGATCTGAAATGAAGTTTTTAATCATAGTTAACCCAAGCACATTATCCCTTTCCCTCCCACTCCCAACTCAATAAAGTGAGTATGGTATCAGTTTTAATTACTACTCTAGGGGAAATTAATTAAAACTACAAACCAGAAAATAGGTTTAATCAACTTTTTTGGGTTGTACTGGTTTAGTGGCTTTTAAAATTTTATAAAAGCTATGTAGATTAAGAATAAAATATCCAATTTATCAAATCACTTAAAATGAAATCTGTATCATGAGTTGGAGATTTATTATTATATATTCAAACTCTTTAAAAAAACTATTTTGTGAAGATGTGAATTTGGTGTCAACATACATTATGTATAATCAGAGATGATAAATTGTGGTATAAAGGTGTATTAAGAATTGTAATGCAAAAAATAATGATAATAATAATAAGAGAGCTCATGTATAATGGCATAATAAATAAATAAATAAATAAGCAAAAAAAAAAAAATGGTTCTGGGATTGAACCCAGGGTTTCATACATGATAGGGAAGTACTCTACCACTGAGCTACATCCCATCCCCTAATGTTTGTTGTTATTTTTTAAAATTTTATTTCAAGACAAAGTCTTGCAAAATTGCCTAGGCTAGCCTCAAACTTGAGATCCCCTGTCTCAGCCTGCTGAGTAGTTGTGTTGGAATTTCCATTGGTATTGAGATGTGTTGTTTATATCAAATTAATCCTGTTGTTAGTCTTCAGAAATAATAATATATGGGCTGGGGTTGTGGCTCGATGGTAGAGTGCTTGCCTAGCATGTGCTCAGCACCACATGAAAACAAATAAATAAAATAAAAGGTATTGTGTCCAACTACAACTAAAAAAATAAATATAAAAAAAATAATGTATACATGTTTATTGGGGAGAATGAGAATATGACAGTAGTTAATATCAGTTTTGTGTGTTAGGAAAAAAATGTCTTTAAAACATTTTTACCTCCCATAATGATTTACCTATCAAAATGACTGACTTTAGTGGGAAACTGAAACTTTTTAAAATCCATATTTGATAATG